ATGTGAATGGCAGTTTTTTTTTACACATAATATCATTGATTTTTTATTCAGTTCAGGGAGAGAAAGGTGGTTCCAAGCATGGTATTTCTAATTTAAATATGGGCAATTATGACGGCATGAAAGCAGAGGTAGCTAAAATGAATGAGCAAATTATGTTAAGGAATTGGTTAATAGAAATACAGTCGCAGATATTTAAAGGATATTTCAGAATACATAAAATAGATACATTCCAATGAGAAAAAGCCAAGGGAAGGATTCACCATCTACGGTTACCTAAAAAACAGTTAAAGGCAGTACCAAGCTTAAAGAAAAAGCATATAATTGTGCAAGCAGAAATTGCAAGTCAGAAGACTGGACAAATATAATAAAAGAATGACTCAATAATTAGTAAGAAGGAAATAAATTGAAGTGCAGGAGAAAATTAATCAGAAATATAAAAACAGAGAGTTAGTGTTTCTGTAGCTATTTTAAAAATGAAAAGAGTTAACAAAAATGGGTGTTGATGCTACCAAAAGTGAGTCTCGGGGATTCATAATAAAAAAAAGATTGATGAATTGGCCAAATATTTTGCATAGGCCTTCACAATAGAGGATACAAGTAACATCCAGAAATCAAGAGAATTCCAATCACAAGGAAAGAGGTACAGAACAAATTTCCAGAGCTGTGGTTTGAAAAATCCCCAGGTTCTGATGGTTTTCAGGCTAGTATAAGGACTATATTATTTTAGAAACATAAACTGGGAAAATTAGACTGCTTTGCTGCAAAATAAGAGCCAATTGTTTATTTTATAACTCAAAGGAAAAGTCTAACTGTGCAGTGTTCAGTTATTGGTTCCACAAGTGCATGTAACTTTTGGAAAAACTGAAATGATACTTTTGAGAGATTAGCTTGTATCAGGTGCCTTTGGGTTTGAAAAGGAACAATCAGGGAAGGGCTTTTGGATTTGTTTTGTAGCAATTTTGTCACAGAACTGAGAACGGTGGGACACAAACTTCCAAAGACCTGCAATTCAAAACATGTCTCTCTCTCTCCCTCTTTGTTTGGAAGAAAATAGAATGCACTACAGACACTGATAAGAAAAACTTCTAATTCAAGGAAAAATTGAATTCCAACTGACTGACTACCAATTTGAAGATCGCTGTGGTAGACAGTAATGTGATATTATTGCCAAAAAAAAACTGTGACAAGTCACCTCATTGCATCCTTGTAGTTTGGACTCTTGATCCATAGAATTTGCCTATATTTCTGCCTATATTTTCTACCCATGATATTTTTGCAAAACTGACTGTATTGCCTGTCTTGTCCATCCCATTTTTGATGTGTGTGTGTTTGGATTTAAAGAAAGTATTGTTTACATAATAAGCATTAAGTTTTATATTACACTTGGAGCAGAACTCAGCTAAGTGTCATTTTCATTGAGCTACATGAAGGATTTCTCTATGTGAGGGCGAGTGGGTTTCCTCGTACTATTTTCCCAAACTCACTTAATTAGCTATCTACCACACCCCTGTGGCGTGTCACTAATCCAATGCTAGCCTGATTCCCTCAATCACCATAGTAATTGCCATTGCCTAGATATAGCTGCAGCAGGACTAGATTTAAAAGGTCATTCTTGCCTGATCAAGAGCTGGCCTGTACAGTTTATGACATTTGCTTTGGACATGAAAGACAAGGGAGTCTGCAGTGTGCAGTCTACAAACAGAATACTTGTGGCAGGATAACAAACTAGCTGTATAACCTTTTCTTTCTTCCTCATAATCCTATGGAGAGGTTTCCCTGGTATATGTGGAAGTGGCAGTGTAAATATAGCTGGAAGATTTCCTTCAATTCCTGTATATGGTATTTTTTTAATTCACTACCCTCAGAGAAAAAAAACAATTCTTCCTCATCCCAATCTTAAATTTGCAGCCCCTTATTCTGAGATTATGTACTCTGGTCCTAGACTCTCCTACAAGGGGAAACAAACTTTCCTCATCCACCCTGTCAAGTCCCAGAAGAATTTTGTACTACATGTTTCAATAAGATCACCTGTCATTGTTCTACATTCAAATGTGTACAGGCCCAACCTACTCCACCACTCGTCATAAGACATTCTCCCACACCTGGTCAGAAATAAGAACAGCCGATGCTGGAGTCAGAGATAACACAGTGTGGAGTAGGAGGAACACAGCAGGCCAGGCAGCATCAGAGGAACAGGAAAGTTGAAATTAAGATTACTGAAGAAGGGTCCCGACCGGAAACGTCAGCTTTCCTGTTCCTCTGATGCTGCCTGGCCTGCTGTGTTCCTCCAGCTCCACACTGTTATCTCCCATACCTGGTATCAGCTTTGTGAGCCTTTTCTGGACTGCCTCCAATGCTACCGTATATTTCCTTAGACAACGGCTCTAAAACCGTTCACAATATTCCAGTTATGGCAGGACCTTTGCTTTGTATTGTATTAGCAAAACCTCCCTATGTTCACACTCCATTCCTGTTGAAATAAAGGCCAACATTCCGTTTGCTTTCTCTATTAGTAACTGAACATGGGGGTGTTAGCCTTTCTGTGGTCCATGTACCAGCACTCAATTGTTCTGTAGCGTTGTGCAATATTTCGCCATTTAAAAACCATTCAGTTCCAGATATAGCAAACATTTCAGATTTTCGGAAGGTTGCAACATTGCTAATTTTGAATTGCAGAACTTCGATCGTTCACTATTTGTAGCGAAACTTGAATGATGCTTAAAGACTGCAGTTTAGATACTGCTCCACCCAACAATCTCGCAATACGACCCCCGTGATGGCTAATTAGGTTACTGCTCCTTTTAATGTGAAAAATGAGCCTAAACGTTGTTCCTCTTTTGCAACGAGACTAATGTAGTTAGAGGTTAAAGCGCCACCTGGGGTCATTGACATTCTGAATAAATGAATATTTCAAACTCCGGCCGTTCAAACGTGTCCATTTTCGCCTTCCACTGGAACCTGACTGACACATTGCGATCACATTAAGTAAATCAGTGGAATCGATCATATTATCCCTGGATGCAGATCCAATCAATCCTCAATATGAGCTACACAGCAAGAATGCCAATCGAGTTGCACAATTCACAGGCTCGGGCGTGAGGCCAGTACTCCGAAAGCAATGGCACCAAATAGGCATGTAAAAATGTTGCAAGTTACTTGCAACCGGTAGCACTAGTAAAATAAAAGCAGCATCTCGCCAATAATACGATTTATTTCCCATGGGGCAGGAAGACAACGAGATATTCTTTGGGATAGGCTGGGGCTTGAAACCACATGTTCATTTCATGTTCAATCGCATTTCTTTCAGGTACTTTCGAAAAACTTCAAACTACATTGCCTTCTTTCTAAAATGTTGCATTGTGCCAACTGCGGGGTTTATCCGAACCGCGTTTGTGAAGCAAAGCGGGTTCCTATTGCAGACTCCCAGCCCTCGTTAATCATTGGTTCTTGTCAGAGCCTGTTGACAATTCGGTGGGCACATCTACATTGTAGAGGGCTGACATTTGCCAGATTAAAGACATGTTTGTTCGCTTACTGTGTGTCTTGCTTCAACTTTGCAAACATGTGCTCAAACAAATCAAGCCTACATTTATCTTAGGAGCTGGTGATCATTTCGAAATGAATCGCTAGTTGGAAATGTCGTGGGGCCGGCTGCATAAGGAGGAGGGGTTATAAACAGGCTTCAAACAGGGCATCCGTACCCCACCACCCAGAGAACTGTCCATTTGTGCTCTTGTGCACGGAATACATACCAGCTCCTGGTAGAAGTGGAAACTCAAATTATGCTTGCAGACTATTTAGTCTCTGAACTCCGCGAAGTTTGTATTAAGCAGAGTTTCGATCACGTTTCACAACTACCTTTTAATATAAGTGCAACACATCTGAATAGGTTTCTATTTTAGTATCGTTCAACGTGCACCACAAGCGGAACACATGGCAACGCCTTTACGTTGTAGCTTAGGTAGTGACTAGTGAAAAATCTTACCCCATTTGCTCACGGTGTGGCTGTGGCAAGCGATTGCATATTCTGGCTCTGCATTGACGGCGGGTGTATTCTTTTGTAAACGCAGTAAATATGTTCTAACATCCATTTTAAGTTATAAGCTGTTTGCCGGCGTAAATACATTATGGTTGTATTTTAGAGGTATAAGAAGGCACAAATATCTTACAGTTTTGACTAAAAGCTACGGATCTGTTTGAACATAAAGATTATTACGCGACATGAGCAATACTTCATCGTATTTAACTTTTGAAGCATTCTACACATGTTGAATCGCTGGCATTTCGTTGTCAGCGAGACCCGTTTGCCAATAATTCCTACTGTGCACTTGCTAAATGGGAACAGGACCCTCTCAAGTTTTTTTTTATAAGTTTATTTTGGCTTGTTTGGTACATTTGTAAAATTCCTGAGGAGCCTGGGATTTAAGACAGAGCATGTAAAACCGACGCAAAAAAAAAAATCCTTTACCGCCTTGGCCGGGAATTGCTGTTAAAGTGAGCCTTGCGCCTCTGAATTCCTCAAAGACGGCGGATACAGGGAGGGGAAATAACGTTAGCGTTCGCGCATCGCTCTTATAAAAATGAGTTGGCCAGGCCAGATAGGTAGCTCGCTTGGCTCTGTCAGTCATCCTTTGAGGCTCTTCCGTCTTCTCAGCAGAGCGGGCAAGCAGTTGAATAGCTCGTAAAAACACATCTGAAACAAATTAGGTTTCCATTATATTCACCAAAAACAGGCTGATAAATAGGCGTCTGTATTTACAGCAAAACTAATTGCCTGCATACACAGACGTATCTATTCCACACAACCTGATATCAACAGCATTTCTGACTTCCACATAAAAGACGCAGGATCTTCTGTTTTGACAGCGCTTTCACAAATAGACGTCTCTTCAGCTGGATTTCAGCAGAGCTATGAGCAACACGGGGGAGCCCTGTGGACATTAATTTAACTCAATATCCACGTTCGCCCTATGGGGAAACAGCAGGCACTTCACTAAAGAGGCAAGCATCACACATATCTTCTTCACCTGTTTCCTGTTACTTCCGGCCGAGTATCTCCATTCTTTCTAAGATCATTGACATTTCTCTGGTACTTTGACCAAGTATCTCCTCTTCACAGGTAAGTTTTTAAAGTTTGAATAAACATTACAAGTCAACCTCAATGCAAAATGATCATGCTGACATTACGCTCCCAGAGTATATCCAACGTCAGGCGCAATGAACTGAAGTGTGGAATGTGATTCCGTGGAGACTGGAGTTGGCTGTCAGTATGTGTTGTGGTTTTCTTGAAAAAAAAAACAGGGATTATTATTGATACGAAATTAAAAGATTCATGCTTAATGTTTGGATGACCCTCATTTGAGGATAGACCGGGGTAAGACATAGGTTAAGAAATCCGTAGATGTTTCATCCCACAGTAACCTTGGGAATCAGACCAGCAGCTAGCTCAACTAAAATTTCTGGGCCTGGGAAGGTATTCTTATTTAAATAACTCTGCGCTGTAACGGGGCCTCCAGGACACTATTCAGTTTCAAAATCTGCAGGCTTTCCAAGCCAAATCCAGAGCCTAGAGGTCCGCAATCATGCAGTGGACATATATGCCTCCTTTCTCAAAGACTACCACTTCTGTAGCACTTTTCAACTTCATTTTGTCTGCTATTGAAACACGTGCCTATGTTTTTGTCACCTCCAGACTATACTATTCCACTGGTGCCTTTCATCTTCAATAAACTTTCAGTCTATCCAAAATTCTGTTACCCATATCCTAGTCCAACAAAATCCTAATCATTCCACATCCCTGATGTGCTAGCTAACCTGTATTAACACCTAGTCACTTAATGCCACCAATTTAAAAGCAGTACCTTTGAATTTCAAGTCCTTCAAACTATCTCTTCAAGCCACTCGCTATCTCTCTATCATTCTCTAACTCTACTATATATTTTTTGAGAACTGCTTGCCTCTGACATTAAACTCTTATGTATCCTCCTTTCTTTATCCCTTTTATTGACAGATGTACCTTCAGCTGTCTAGACCTTATATAACATAAACCTAACCATAAATCCTCCTGCTTCATCACTTCCATCTTGTTAAGATACTCCCTTAAATCTATTTCTTTCATAAGACTTCTGGTCAAACCTCCTCATGTATACTTATTAAATTCAGTGTTCATTTCTATCTGATAGTGTTTCTGCCATGTATATAGTGATAATGTTCTACATTAAAGGAGCTATGTAAATGTTCAATGTTGGTTGTGATGCACTAGGCAGACCAACAGCTACTACCTAACCAGACCTGGGAAATGTAAACTCCTGGTTTAACAGTCCCCTCTGTATTGCCATATTCTCTCTAAATTGGATGACATTGTTTGGTGTGGAAAACAAAATTAGTTGAAAATGTTTTCAGGTACACAAGTCTGGGTCTGATTCTTAGACACATCGTAGAAATGCACTGGAAAGACTACAAATGTTTCATATATATTATGTGTTGCAAAGCATCTGTTTTAGCCCATAAAACGTGTAAGCAACCAACTCCTTCAGTTATAACGAAAAGATTAGGTGTGGATAGTACTTGGGTTTTCCATATAATTGTCTTGATTGTACAATTTTGAATGTAAAAAATAATTTGTTCACCTGCATTTTCTGAAAAAAATCAATTGCAGCATTATTTGGGAAAACATGTTGTGGCATGTGGTAAGGCAATAATAATTGGTCTTGTTGCAATAAAACAGCTTTTAACACAAGGATGATCATGGTCAATCAGGCTGATATTACTCTTAATCGCTAGTTGTCTATTGTTATCAAAATAAGAAATTTATGAACCAATTGTTTGTTCTGAAGTAGACTGTGATCATGCATTTCACCTCATTACAAGTTGGTTTGTTTAATAACCAGCTCTGGCAATACTTCCTGTAATTATAGTGTAGGAAAAGTAGGAATAAAACTCAACCAGTAAATAACCACTTTTAAAAGCCTGTGAACTTTACATCTTTTAAATGTTGAGGTTGACAATCAACCTTAACGCATGGAGTGGCAAAGCAGGCTTGAGGGTTCAGATCATCTATAACTGCTCCTATTTTGTATGTCCTTATTTGGTTTTGCACTTCATGTTAGTGATTTTAAGGTATTTGTTCGTTTTTTTAATGTGATACATTGTATTGTTCTAGCTACTGAAGTTATAACGAAAACGAGAGAAAAGACACAATCCATTTACCTCAACGATAATCTCATTCAAGAGTGAAGTATCATATTATTCATACTTAATTATTTGGTTTACCACTTGCATATTTACAAAAATACATTTATGATTGGTACTAATGACCTTAGTGATGATTAATATAGGAAACTATTTAAACTGCATGTAAGATAAATACAGCAATGAGACTTTGAATCCATGACAGATACATAATTGAGATTGCTTGTCAGATTTAACGTGAGCATAAAAATAAACAGGCACTGCAAAAGGTGTCTTCATGCCAAATGGAAATAACTGAATTTGTATGTGACAAAACTCCACTTGAGGTTCAGAACCAGCAACAATGGATTGGTAATTAGATTCATTGATAGTATTACATGGGAACTCACCATCAACATTGATTTGAACAGTTGTACTTCAAAATCTATTGTTATTGTCTGTGCATTGCTGATTGCCAAATTGATGATGTACTTCTGATAATGTCAATAAGTACAGTATATGTTACTTTCAGAGCTAGATATAGAGGTGCTGCTTTAGTAACTTGCTACACATTGTGGCATGGCAGACAGTAATATTTGTACAAAAACAAAATTGCTGGAAAAGCCCAGCAGATCTGGCAGCATCTGTGAAGGAAAAAAACGGACTTAATGTTTCGGGTCTGGTGACCTTTCCTGGTGAACAGTAATATCTGGCTCACTGTGTTTCATTGATGATTCCTTTGATGGTAGGGAGCACCACAGTAAAGTTTCTGACATATAAGTAAAGACTTTACCAAATATTAACTTCAGGGACATCAAGATAATCGTGAATTAGATTGACAGATGTCCAGTGAAGTAGCACATGGCTAAAATCAGGCAGTGGCACTATAAACTCACTGCTGAAATTTCCGGATAACAGAAGATTAAAAGGCAAAACAATTAACTAAATGCATTTTGTATTTTGTTTTCAAATCATTGAGCAAAAGAACAAAGAATGTGGTGATACATTTATACAAAAATAGGCCACAGGTAGAATGTAATGTCATTATAGGTATCTCATGACAGAAACAAGTATAAAGCCATAAAGAACAGATTGTGAAAGCTTTTGTTCAGTTTTCCTAACATTTCTTCTTTTACTCAAGAACCACTTTCATTCTCTCTTGGTATTTATGAGGCACCTTGCCTACTGTTCTACATTAAAAATATGATATGAATCCAGTGTGGTTGTAATTCACTCAAGATTCTGGGGTTATTTGCACAAAGGCAGAAAAGCTTACGATTTTTAAAATTATGAAGGATCTTTATAGGTTAGAGGTACAAATTGTTAGAAATTCGGAATTCAGTGACCAGTGTCATCAATTTAAAATTGTTACTGAATGTGTGTAATAGACAAGAGGAAAATTTTGTTTTACAGAGAGACTTGTTAGAACATACCATATCTCTGTTACATTTCAGAATACATTCACAGAGATAGAGAATTTTATTCAAAACAAAGTTCAAGTGACAATGCACTCAACCTGAAAAAGGAGTGATTGCATTTTAAGAGATTGCCACCAGAAGAATAATCAGCTTGCATTGACTGCGACATACCCGGAATGTCAAGACCACCAATGGTTCATCAAAATGTGTAGTTTTTTTTTAAATTTTATTTCCAAAAATAAAATTGATACTTGACGGGGTTTATAACAATACTACCGCCTTAGTTTTGATAATTCAAGAGATACTTCTAGCTTATTTCTTAATACAGCTTTGCACACAGTAAAGGACATACTGAATCAGAAAATAACCACATCTTTTTAAAAATACAAACTCTGTTATAACCAACATCAGAAGTGAAAAGAAAGGAATTTCTTAATCTCCAAACAGAACATGATGTTACAATGAATGGGCTGCTCTCAAAATTCAACTCAATTGCTGTTTTTGGGAGGTTGACTGTCACAGTTCCTATGTTATAATGACTAAACTTGAAAAATCATTCAAGTATTGTCTTTGCCTGTGCTCTCACTTTATTTGACTTCCTGTCTGCATCTTTTCCAATGTGAATTCTTAATTATTGGATTTTTATGTCTTCTATAAATGAAATGGAAAATAAATAACTCAAGTAAGCAATAACTCAAGAGAATGGGTAATTTCATCTGTCAACAACCATTTCTAGCCTCAGAAACACGTTAAGGAAAATCTGTTGGGGCCCTTGGATGACATTTGCTTGGTGATTCAATGTTTAAACAGGCCTTCAAATGAATATATTACATTTCTTGTTCAGGTATTCAAATCTGGCTTCTACATATTTTCTAATCAACCTATTCAGGGTTGGTATTACTCAACTTGGGAGTAGGTGGGACTTGAAATCAGGCTTCTACACTGGTGTCAGCCTTAGCCCAATCATAGCATTCCGACATTGAACTTACAGAGTCATTGGTTCAAGGCCTACATCAGAGACTTGAGCAAACAATCTAGGCTGAAACTTCTATGAAGTACGAAGGCAGTGCTCGACTGTCAGAGACACAATCTTGTGACTGAAACATTAAATTGAGACAGCATCTGCAACCTTGGGTAAAAAGAACAGATTCTATTGCCATGATTAAAAAATAATAGTAGAACTCTTCTGATGGGGTGGACGACATTTATTCCTTGAATAACATTTTCAACAAACTGACCTAGTCATTTGAAAATAACAAGAGCTGCAGATGCTGGAGTCAGAGTTACAGTGTGGGCTTGGAGGAACACAGCAGGTCTTGTTTGTCAGAGTTTGGTGTGCACAAATCGGCCACTGCTTTTCCTTTGTTACAACAGGGACCTCACTTTAAAAGTAGCTTCTCATTGCAAAACCCTTTACAATGTCCTGAGGTTGTAATAATCTCAATGTAAATTCAAGTATTTCATCTTACTATTTTGCCTGTAGACCCCAATTGCAAATTCTATAGTGAAATTAGTTTGTCATGTGAAGTTTGTCCTAGTCCTATCTTGTCTGGCTGCTGCCCACTATAAGCAGTGGTACTTAAAGGAACTGCTCAAGGCCAGTGGGAAGATGTATGTTTTTTCTTTTTTAAGAAAAAATGTGAAGAAAGGAAGAATATTTCTACTCTTCCTGATCTGTCAGAATTCTATTCTTTTCCCCAACCCAATCTGTCCCCCCATCCCCATTTCCTCTCACCTCCAAGCAGGCCCTATCTCTATGCAGAACCCAACTGCCTTGCTTCCACACTGAACCAGTAAACTGTAGTGGAAATCCACTTGGTACCTACAGCTTATTGCTAATCTGTTTGAAAGGCCAGGCCAAACCTGATAATAGATTTGTCCTTCAAACTGTGATCATGAATGGATAATGTGGGCATATTTTTGATATTATTTCCCTTTTGTGCAGGACTGGAAAACCTTTTCATAATGTTTCTCAGTTCAACTCCTGAAGATTTTAGAACTCAAAAACCCTATGAGATGTATCTAATGACTACAGTCTGTCTTTTATATCTGCTGGGCACATGCACACACAATCTCACTGCTTATTGAAAGTCTGCTAAATATAAGCAATACCCGAACAAAGTTTTTTTGTAATCTGTCCCTTCATTTTGTTCATTTATTTGTTAAGATTAAGCAAAAGAAACAGAAAACAACAGTTTATTTCCCTAAATTATGCTAATGAACAATGCAGACTTATACTGCTCAATCGATCAAAGAAAACAATCACATCTCTCGTCAAAAATATCAAATTGATCTCCAATCATGGGACGAAATTAAGCCTTTAAGCTAAATATTTAGATTGAATTAAGAAAGCAAAAAGAATTAAGATAGAAAGACAATTAAATCAATGCACTTATCATGTTACTGTGAGGTATGTAGTCATTAATGTTTTGTTTCATATAAAGCCATATTTTGGACCTTGAATTTATCTGTTACGTGGAGAAAATAACATGATTTCAAATAATTTGTGTGAAGACACCATCTGCTCATTTTATAAATTAGTGTTCTTATTTAAATTGCGAATTCAGAGTAAAATATTCCAAATCATGACACAGAGAGCAGATGGTGTATATCAAATTTTATGTTACATCTGTAGATTTAATTAATTACTAAGCTTTGTACTTTTGATATTCTCCATTACAATTAATGTTCTTCTCTTGCCTCTTTATAAACACAACAAAACCTATCTCTTTGGTGAAGCTTTTCCTCATTTGTGCCAGTATCTCCTTATGTCATTACCTGCCAAATGTTACTGATAACTACCCCTGCAAAATGCTTTGATACATGTACTCACATGAAGACATTATATAAATGCAAGTTGTTGTTCTATGATGTCACCTTCTTTTTGCACCAAGATCTGTTATGCTGTATTTGACTTTTACATTCTATCACTGTATTTGTGTGTATGTGAAGTTGTTCACTTTGGTGGGACTTTATTTAAAGTGTATTACATAAATAGAGAATGACTGCAAAACAGTGAGATGCAGGGGGATCTGGTTGTTCGAGTGCATAAGTCATAGTATGTTACTGGGCAGGTCTAGAACATAATCAAAAAGGTTAATGAGATACTATCCTCTATTATGAAAGGAATTGAACATAAGATGAAGGACGTTAAGCTTTTGTTATACAGGACATTAGTGATACCACATCTTGAATACTGTGAATAGTATTTAAGGAAGGGTGAAATGTACTGGAGGTAATTAAGAGGAATATTATTAAAATAGAAATCTGTAATGAGTGGGTTGTCTTATGAGGATAGGTTGAACAGAGCTGGACCAGTTTTCACTGCAGTTTAGGACTGCCAGCAGTCTTTGAAGTGTATAAGATCCAGAAAGTCTTGACAAGATGGATAGACCCTCTAGGGTGAGTCCAGAACTAGGGAACACTGCTTTGAAGTTAAGGATCATCCTGTTAGGACAGAGATGAGGAAAATGTCTTCTCTCTGAGTGTCATGTGACATTGGAACTCTACTTCAGAAGGCAGGCTGTTGAATATTTTTAAGGCAGTAGTAGATAGATTCTTATTAGGCAAAGGAATCAAAAATTACCATGAGCAGTTAGAATTCAAAAGACAGTTCATCCATGGTCTTATTAAATAGTGGAGCA